GCTGAAGGCAGACATATTTAGAAAACTATTTAGGTAGCAGAAATGACAAGACTTGGTAATGTGTGTTGATTGAAGGCTTGAATCAAAGAAGAAAACCCAGGAGTTTGTTTGCCACACAGACCTTTAAGCTAGAGACTGAGTCGTTCATTTTTTAGGGACAGTACCACGGTCCTGTAAGGGTCATTGATGGCTTCAGCCATAAGCACACCAGAGTGGGATGCAGGGATGAGACAGCCCTCCCCATCTCTGCAGGCAGCAGGAGGGAGCCAGAGGTGGGTCAGAACAGGATAAATCTCCTCCCAGACTCACTGAAGGTACATGGAAACCAAGGATGAAGGACAAAGCTAGGAGCCACTTCTCACCAAGATTCCTTGTGTGTGTGTCCCTACAGAGTTGTGGGAAGGGAAAAGTAGTGTAACAGCTAACTACTCACATAACATTTCTTCTGTGATCTGAATGAGAAGGAAGTCCAAAGGAGAGGAGATACGTATATATGTACGGCTGATTCATTTCACTGTACAGTAAAAACGAACGTAACATTGTAAAGCAACTATACTCCAATAAAAATTCATTTTTAAAAAGGAATCAGATTTCTAAGGAGGAAAAAAAAACTTTCTGCTGTATGAGAGAATCACCTTTTAGCTGAACGTGATCCTTTGTTCTTATTGATCCAAATCCTCTTTCAAGCCTTGAATGCACTCCCCAGTATCCTTTGTCTTCCAAATTCTACCCCAACTTCAGCACAGTCCCACTCACTCTGACAACATATGCCCAGCACAGAGCACCTGGAAGAGATTACATGAACAGATGCCACGCTTCCTAGGGAAGCTGTTTCCTGTTTGGGGAATGGGAATGTATGAACCTGAAATGAGTCAAAAAATTGTCAAGTGCTGAGAAAATGCAAAGAAAGAAACTACTATGGTGAGGTCTGGCTAATGAATAAGGGCTTTTGACTGGATAAATAAGTATCTCATCACTACAGAGAAACATTCCTAAGGTGTTAGTGCTCTGAATTCCTACAGTCTTGGTCTTGGATTTTACTAAGCAAACAAAACTAACCAGGTTACCATTTTATTTTCTCAAAGAAGTATTTCCCCAAGTTCTTTCCAATAATTTTTTCATTCCTCTCACTGGTAAAAGCTAGAAGCACTTTGCCAATCCTATCAGTCCTGAAAGACAGGTCATCAAAAATAAACATCACTTCACTAAAAGAAAAATTAAAACTATTGAATAACAATTAAAAATTTAACTATCTCATAGCAAGGCAAAACATGGATCACTGTAGAGTAGCTATAATCATATGGCAATCAGGAATTCAAGAAATTCATGATAATCCTCAAGCAGGCTGTACCAACCAAGAAAGTGTGCTGTTAGCCGAGGAAAATTAACAGTGCATTTTAGACTCAACAGAAAGTATGGTGATTGCTTAGATCGTCAACTCACGGAATTTCCATTAAATCAGAACAAAACTATAAACAATACCCCCCAAACACACAATATCAGATTAGTGATCTGATATGCTAATTCCAATGAGCAACTATTAATGCTATTATAATATTTAACATTTGTACAGACTACTTAGACAGGAACATTTCCAAATGACTTAGATGAAAAATCCACCCAAGACTTCAACATGGTGGACTAGATACTCCAAAAAATCTCTCCCAGTATTAAGCCTCTAACAAAGTTTACAGCATTTAAAAGGGGGGCTAAAAAAATCCTCAGAGGCCATAAATCAAAAAGAAGTCAGCCAAAATTCAGGAGAAAAGTAAAAGATGCAGGGTGATGATCTTTTTTGTGTCAACTCGCCTTGGGTACAGTCTTATTTATTCAGACAAACACTAATCTGGGTATTACTGTGAAGGCACATTGCTATTGTTGTTTAGTTGCCAAGTCATGTCCAACTCTTTGCAACCCCATACACTGTAGCCTCCAGGCTTCTCTGTTCATGGGATTTCCCAGCAAGAATACTGGAGTGGGTTGCCATTTCCTTCTCCAGGGGATCTTCCTGACCCAGGGATCGAACATGGGTCTCCTGCATTAGCAGGCAGATTCTTTACCGCTGAGCCACCGGAAGACTGAAGGCATTTTGTAACTGTAATTGAGTCCATAATCAGTTGAATTTAAGATCATTCTTGATAATCTAGTAGGCCAGATTCAATCAGTCAAAAGACCTTAAAGGCAGAGCTGAGACTTCCCAGATGAAGAAATTCTGTCCATGGACAGGTATTTCAGCCTATGGATGAGAGCGGCAGCCTGCCCTTCCTGCCAACTGATTCCGGATTTGCCTAGCCAGCCCCCCAGTATCATGTAAACAATTTCTTGCAAGAAACCTCTTAACAGATACTTGCTATTGGTTCTGCTTCCCTGGCTGTCCCCTGATTGGTGCATGGAGCTCCCCTACTTCTGTTCTGGAAAGAAGAGGCAAGTTTAGGACCCCTCTAGGTGAAAAGCCAGATCAGGATCCATTAAGTGAAAAAGTGAACCCAGAAACAAAGAAACAAGTACACAAACCTAAACTTGGCTCTCTGAGCTTCACCTCTGAGTAGAGGGCGGGAAATTACTCCTGGAGCTTCTACAGTCACAAACCATAGATTTGGGGCCCGACTTCACAATGGAATATGTGTAACTTCACCAGTAAGCAGAGAAAGATACCATTCCACATTCACCAGACTGGCAAAATATATAAATGGAATATCAAGTATTAGACAGAATATGTAACAATGGGAACTGCTATATTCACTGCTCCTAAACAACTTTGGAAAGCAATTTTACATCTGGTAAAGTCAAAGATGTATATATCCTATGAGACATTGCTTTCATTGCATACTAGCTATATGCCCTGGAAAACCCTATGAGCCTGTGTTCTTAAATAACATGTACAAGATGATCTGTGCAATACAATGTATAATAGCCCCAAACTGGAAGCAGTTCAGATCCATTCACTGAAGGCCAGTCCAAGTGAAAGTCACATAATGTGAGTGTCTACATCAGGAAAAAAAGGAATTACAGCTACATGTCCTGGCACAAACACAACGTGGTGGAACACAAAGTCCAATGCATATATTAAGATTTCATTTCCTTTCATGATCTTACCACATATTTTAAAGATAAAATCTGGACTGGATCTCTGTCCTAAATCCAGGCTGATGCTCTTCAGACCAAGGTCTAATTCTACCCACAACTGTACCCACAGAATCTTGGAGAGCACCAGACATAAAGTGTTCGTACCCAACAGACACCCAACAGATACTTGTTGACTAAATGAATAGTTTCTGACCATAAAAACACACACCAGGAACCAGACCCTGTGTTTCCAGCCTAGTGTCCTGATGTATGAAATCCCAAAACCTGACTTTACTTCCTTGGACCCCTTTCTGCCATAGATGACCCTGCAGCTGTTGTTATCTAACCTGACTCCACTTCCCCAGCTTCCAAAAACCAGACTCCCCCCAGATACTTCCATCTAAGCTCCACTCAAGTCCCAGTATGATATGTTCCCACCAAAATCCCAAAGAGAAGGGAGCTTGTCAATGTCAATAAAATGAGGCTTTGAAATTTGCTCTAGATCTAATTCCAGCAATCTGTATTTTCCCATCATTTAACATAGAATCCAGAAAGATGAACAAGAACTTTGACAGGGCTCAGGAAATATAACACTTAGAACAGCAAACAAAACTGGTTAAGAAATTTCAGTTCAAACTGATCAAATTGATAACAAAATAACATCACATTAAAGGTCTGGGTTGATTTCATTGGGCCATATTAAAAGAGACTGTGAAATTCCCAAGTACCTTTCTATTTGGGAAATAAACATAAGTGAAGGGACACATTTTAGGGGAAAGTGATTCACTTTCCCTCCTGAAGTCCTAGAATACTTTTAAACTACATCTTTTTATTCAATATCAGGTGTGTTCCTGCTTTGAACATTACAAAGATAGAATACTTTCCACAAGAAAAGCTGATCTTTCTCGAGATAATCACAGTAATTCGATCTGGCAGCACCGATCTCCCTAAGCACAAGGTATACCTTAATGTGGGTTAATGACATGGCTAGTGTCAGTGAATTCCAGGGTAACACGGTATAAGATCACTGCAATTACCTGGCTCAGAGAGACCAGCACATTTCAATATGCCAAGACTTTAAAATTCCAAATGTCAAGCATACTTTGAGAATAATTGCCAGCACATTAACTTATTCTGCAGTCTCTAGCTGTCATGTAAATACTGCATTTCGCTTACTGTCTTAGGAAAGGAGATAGTCACAAAGAACTGACACTTCCTCCATATCTAGAAGCCTCACATTTCTTTTCTTTTTATCAGTGTTATGTGGACTGGATGCACTCTACATTCTAGATTCATCTGTGTGGCTACAAGTCACTCTTCATTTCATTTTAATGATTTACTGAATTTCTACTTTGCACCTATACTATGTTATATACAGTTTGGGGGAGGGAGTTCCTACTCTAATGAAGCTGTGCAAATAGTTGATGGAACAAGATTTATATTCAAGGAAGACTTCAACCAAAAGAACCTTAGCTGAATTCATTATCTGATAACATGTTTGTATTTTTTCAGTTTCTCTTCACATATCATTATCAGCATCATCAAATATTTAAATCTGCCTTGCATATACAGATATGACAAGCTGTCTAGTAATATTCCACATTGATGTATTATAACATTGCTGATAGTGAAAAGCATGGTCTCTAAACTATCTTCCTCTAAGGAATTAAAAAGAGACTTTAAAAAAATTCAGCATTATTAATACCATATAAATATCATCAACCAGTGTGGCAAGGATGTAGGAGATTCCTTTCGCCTTTCCTGTTAAGCATACAGACTTGACTACAGAGAAATGAAATGTATAAGGGTACATATTTTCTGGCCACAGAGTGGGGAAGAGAAAACAGATTTGAACAATAACAGGTCACATTAAAAAAAAAAAAAAATAGAGCAAAACAAACTCCCCCATCCAGTGAGGAGATTAAGTACAATACCCTTTAATCCACAGGTTGGCTCCTTCATCTCTGGGATGCCTCGCCTCTGCCTCCTGTATATGACGTGTGGGTGGTACTCTCCCTCAGCCAGAGGATGCTTTTTGACAGGCTCAATGAAAAAGTCTCCATGTGGTAGATGGAAAAATCCAGTCTGTAAATACATGAAAGACAAAGGTTTTATTTTAATCCATTCTTTATCTGGACAAAGAAAATTCATAAGGTGAAAATTATATAGATAGGATGACCTCTGAAATTCAGAAGACTTTCATAGTCTGCCATTTGATCTCACAGAAGAGCGACACATAAATAATTCAGTGAAATGTCTTCATAGTCATAGTTATTAAATGTTTGGGGGTCATGAGCCCTTTGAGACACTAATGAAAAAAAGTGTACATACACACACACATCCAAAAGTAGCAAACAATTTTTCGGGTTTGTGGATTGCCTCTACCCCTCAAACCCATTGCTGGTTATCTATAAATCTCAAATTAGGAACAGGGCTTCCCAGTTGCCCTCTTATGGAACTTGTAGTTCGTATTTCATGGACATTTTGGGGAAACATTTATCTGTATGTAGGTAGCCCAGCTACATGCTCACATGTGGTTTCATCTTATTTGTTTATTTAGTTTTGACTGCACTAGGTCTTCATTGCTGTGTGCCAGCCTTCTCTCATCATGATGAGCGGAGGCTACTTTCTAATTGCAGCATGCGGGCTTCTCATTGCTTTGGCTTCTCTCTCTTGTTGCAGAGCATAGGTTCTAGGGTGTGAGGGCTTCAGTAGTTGTGGAGTATGGGCTCTAGGGCTCAGGGTCAATAGCTGTGGTGCACAAGTTTAGTTGCCCCATGGCATGTGAAATCTTTCCTGACCAGGGATCGAACCCACGTCCCCAGCACTGACAGGCAGATTCTCAACCACTGGACCACCAGGCAAGTCCCATGGTGGTTTGACTTGAAGTGTTTAATGCCATTTTGCTCTCAAGGAAACAAAGAAATATAATACTGAGTTCCTGATCTGAGACTTGAGTTTCCAGGAGTCTAAAGCAGGCACTCTCATCTCACAGACATGGGAATTAGCAATAAGTTGGGAAATGATGGCAATGAGTAACTCTTTCTGGAGGTCAGGTCTAGAAAAGGGGAGTATAGCCGACAACTCTGTCTTCTCTTTGTGAAAGTTTCTGAGTGCCCATTTAAGATATTTAGAAGCTGCTTTGCAAATGACCTCCTATGACAGACTTAACGCTCAAGATCTGAATCCTATGTTGATGAAAAAGATGGCTCGCCACAGACACCCTGTTTGCAGCATCACAGTGGAGTGACCAAGAGTTCAGACTTTGGAATTAGCCTGTGTTCACATTCCAGCTTCTCCACTTTTTAGCTCTGTGATGTGGGACAGATGATTTGCTCAGTTTGAGCTTTCTCAACTGAAAAATGAGGATAACCAAGGGATGCCATGAAGATTAAATGAGTTAATATATGCAAAGTTCCTAGAAAAGGGTATGGCCTACAGTCTTCTCTGTTTTTAGACTCTTTTCAGATGTCAGATTTCATGTCTTTCCATTGTCTTAGGGTCTCCAGAGTCAACATAACAGTTAAATGAATATTGTTTACAAAAATAAACCTGGAAAGTTTGAGGTTAGGACAACGGTGAACAGGTCCCAAAGTACAAGGTTGCTCGTCACATCTCAGCAAGCCAGGACTGCTCTGCTCCGTAGATGAGTCTGAAGATAAGCTGAGTACACCCCCTGTCCTCACCCCAAGTTAGGAAGCAAAAGGGGTTCCATGAAGGGAAATGCTCTCTGTTGAACAGGCTTTGACTTTGGGGTCTTTCCAAAATGGTTGCCTCACTGTTGTTGCTGTTCAGTCACTAAATAGCATCAGACTCTTTGTGACCCTACAGACTGCAGCACACCAGGCTTCCCTGTCCTTCACTGTATTTCGGGGTTTGCTCAAACTCATGTCCACCGAGTCGGTGATGCCATCCAACCATCTCATCCTCTGTCAGCCCCTTCTCCTCCTGCCCTCAATCTTTCCCAGCATCAGGTACTTTTCCAATGAGTCGACTCTATATACCAGTAATATAACCAGATCTGAATATACTAACTTATACCTTCTTATTTTGATTACTCACTTTTAAGTATCTTCGATAATAAGGAGAATAGAAAAAAATTTTCTTTACTGAAGTCTTAAGAATAGCTGTGTGACCTTGAATATGTCGCTCAACCTGTAAAATGTAGGTAATGCCTACCACCTCACAGGGCTGTGAGAAGGAGCAAATGGACTGAGGCTTATCAAAGTGCCATGCAAACAACTTTACAAAGGCAGAGTGATGATATTTTAACTACCAACTCCAATAGCTGACATCTGATTTCAAATTTGCTCACATTTGCTGACAGTTTTTTTTTTTTTCCTCAGCATCTTTCTTTGAGAAAAAAACCTCTGGGACAGGAAGCATTGACAAGTTCCAGACTGTAAAGTAGCTAGAAACAGACTCATGTGGGGCTGAGATTCGGTTTTATTTCTACTCTGAGGCAAAGACCAGGGACATGAAGAGACAGTGGACCTCTTGCAAATGGAGCTCCTTTGTTCCCCGGAAATGAAATAGAAGGCAGGGACTCCTCCGGCATGGCTGGTGTGCAGTCCCTTTGTGCAACTTCCATCAATCTAATACGAAAGTCTTTGAAGAAAAAAAAAGTAACATCAACAAGAAGGATGTACTGGTATTTCTCCAGCCTCAAATTTTGGACCCAGGTGGTTCGGAAGAAACATATGGGACTGCAGTTGAGAACACAATAACTGTTTTACGAGCAACATGAATGAGGGTGCCCAAAAGTCAAATGAGCATTTTCTTAACTGCTTCCTTCCATTTGCATTTTTACACAAGGCCAGTTTTGACAGCAGGCACCTTGAAATCAGCTACCTCTCCATCCTAAATGCTTCTCAGAAGCTGCACAGAGCCCAAGAAAAGCTGGGTGACTCATCAGCTGGAGGGGAGGCAGGACATCTGCTCATAGGAAGGGGGTTGCTGGCCTCAGGACCCCAGGTATATTGCAGGGAAGGGAACGGACAGGAGAGGAGAAGAAGAGATGCTGCTTGTTCAGGGAGAGTGATGGGAAGATTTCCCAGCTGAACTCTGCATCTCCCTCGCCCTCCAACATATAAACACAGAGCTTTATACACCTGGTACCCAAGGGGCCGCAGTTCACTGGTCCCTTCTCGTCTAACCAGAGCTGGGTGACGCTGGAAAATCATACACCCTGTGCATTCCAATAGAAGTAAGGACTGGCTCCATGCTCTCCCTGAAGCTAACTACCCAAGAGGACCACTTTCTCCTGTTGCCAGCTTTGGATCTGACTCAGAGAAGGTGCTCTACATTCCAATCTCCTTTATATAATGCTAACCTCATGCATCTTTTTTCAAAAACTTTTTATTTTATATTGCAGTATAGCCGATTAACAATGCTGTGATAGTCTCAGGTGGACAGCAAAGGTACTCAGCCACAAATGTATCTGTTCTCCCCCAAGGTATTCCCAGGTGGCTCAGATGGTAAAGAATCTGCCCACCAATGCAGGAGACACAGGTTTGATCCCTGGGTCGGGAAGATTCCCTGGAGGGGGAAATAGCAACCTGTTCTAGTATTTTTGCCTGGAGAATCCCATGGACAGAGGAGCCTGATGGGCTACGTTTATGGGGTCACAAAAGAGTTGGACACGACTTAGCGACGAAACAAACAAAAAATTATCCCCCAAACTCCTCCAGGCTGTCAGATAACATGAAGCAGTTTCCTGTGCTAAATAGTTAGGTTCTTGTTGGTTATCCACGTTAAATATATCAGTGTATATGTGTCAACTCTCATATCTTTGAAGGAGACTGAGAATGGACCTGAAGAAAAGGTATCCAATTCTCTGGGGAATTCTCAGGTTCCTGAAAGAACCAGGGCAGGATGAGCCCCTGGCAGAAGCCCAAAGAACACAAGTTTGCCCTTTCACCTCCGTTCACCTCTGTCATCTCTTTCTCCTCTCAGCATCCCAGCATGCCTCTCAGTGTCTTTTGGAAATAAACTCACCCCATTGTTCTAAGTTATAAATACCTGCGAATGCTTCCTGAGGCTCTCTCCTAAGAATTATTCTAAATAAACTTTATTTCGAAGCACTATAAACATGCAGAAAAATATAGAAGTTACAACTGCAAAGTCCCATAAAACTTTCACAGAGGAAACACCTAAGTTCAGGAAGAGAAGCTTTTCAGTAGCCAAGAAACTTCCTGCTTCGCTTCTCACTCAATATCACCCCCAAGGGTAACCTTATTCTGATTTCTAACACTAATACACTCATTTTAAACCTTTCCTTAATTCTTTACAGGAAGGGTTACTTGATACAAAAAGTAATAATGTTTACTACGTGCTTGCTAAGTCACTTGTCATGTCCGACTCTTTGTGATCCCCTGGACTGTAGCCCGTCGGCTCCTCCGTCCACGGGATTCTCCAGGCAAGAATACTGGAGTGAGTTGCCATGCTCTCCTCCACCCAAGGATCGAACCCATGTCTCTTATGTCTCCTGCATTGGCAGGAGGGTTCTTTACCACTAACACCACCTGGGAAGCCCCAGTAATGTCTACTAGTTCATTTCAAGTGTTAGAGACTGGGCAGTGGAAGAATTTAAGGCAGGGAGATGTCTCAAGACCCGTTAAATCAGACTCTGCCTACTGCTTCCTCCTCAGCCCCAGATGGTGGGGCTGAGACAAAGGGCTGAGCTACCTTGGGGAGAGTCATTTGGCATTGAAACTCTACTGCTCTCTGCTAATGAAGAACAGGGGTAGGACCTTCAGAATCTTTAGGACCAATTGCTTTTTCCTAGTCTTCCACTGAGAATAGTTGCCTGCAACCTCTGCTCCTTCTCTTCAACTCCCATCAAAGTATTAATCATCTGGATGCACTTGATGTTATACTTCAGTTTGTGCAATGATTTTGGGTCCAGTGGGAAACTGGCAGTGTGAAATTTGTGAATAGACTGTTCTAGAATTGCAAAGCCACGAGGCCTTGAAGAGTCACCTGGTCTAGGCTGTCATGCCTTCAGCTTTTACCACAGGTAAAAACAGTAGGCTGAAGAATAAAAACAATAGTATTGTAAAAGACATGGGGGAACTTATCAAACC